AACTGAAAATCTGATGTAGGAGGGAGGTAGGGGAGCTGAGGTCACCAGCCTTGCATATTCTCCTCAAATCCCCACCCACCTTGTGCCGTGAAAACTGCTGCTTCAGCAAACTACTGCCCAGAATCGATGTTGGTTAAAAATACTGACCATGGCTGTTGACTGTGTCCTTTCTATGACCAATAACTATTATATCATTAGAATAAAATTACCATGACTGACAAAGCCATTCTTTTATTATTTTTTTAAATTTTTATTTAATGAATGCATTTTTTCACAGATACAACTTTAGGAATATACTGGTTATTTGCCCCCCGTACCCACCCTACCCCCCCAACTCCCATCCCACCTCCCTCTCCCATCTCCTTCTTCATTATGGTTCATAGTTTGACTTTATATACAGATGACCAACTTCATGCTAAGCATAGACTTTGACAATTTGCACCCACGCACACACACAACATATAGAGTACAGATTGGGAACAAAATTTGCAGTCAATTCTCATAGTACAACTCATTAGGGACAGAAGTCCTATACGGGGAGTAAGTGCACAGTGACTTCTGCTGTTCCTTTAACAATTAACACTCCTATTTACAACGTCAGTGATCACCCAAGGCTCTTGTTATGGGCTGCCAGGGCTATGGAAGCCTTCTGTGACCACAGACTCCATTGGTATTTGGACATGGCCATAAGCAAAGTGGATGTTCTCTCCTCCCTTCAGAGAAGAGTGTCTCCTTCTTTGATGGCCCTTTCTTTCCACTGAGGTCTCACAGGGATCCTCCGTGTAGGATATTTTTTGCCACAGAGTCCTGTATTTCCATGCTTGAAATGATCTCACAGGCCTTTCAGCCAGACCAGGAAGCCTCAAGGGCTGATTCTGAGGTCAGAGTGTTACTTACAGCGAATTCTAGGAGTGTGCTGTGTGGCCTGCTTCCCATATTGGACTTTCCTTCCTTTTTAATTCTATTATTATTACCAGGCACTTGATGTTACTTATATGACCACTTTTACACTTGAACCCATCTATATGTTGACTTCGACATTTAATATGATCATTTTAACAGTTAAGATGGCATTTATACCACTGATTTTTATGGGTTTGGAGTCCTGTGACAAGTTTTTAGGCTGTACCCTGAGAAGTAAGTCTGTAGGACTGTGTGCAGAACTATACTGCTTTACAGTTATAGACTACCTGCTCCCTCTCTTATTCCCCCTCTTATTTTTAACTGGGATCTTTTTCCAATTGACTGAAAGTACATATGGTTAACTCTCTGTTACATGAAGAGTTCAGCATATAGTATGAAGAAGAGAAAAGAAAAAGAAAGAAAGAAAACAGAAACAAAACAAAACAAAAAAAGGATATACTAAATAAAAAGTAACAATGATAAACTGTCCCTCAACAGTCAGGCCAAGGACTATTCAAGTCATTGATTCTAAGATCGTCAATTTTGCTTCTATAACTTACATTTTAGGAACACTATTAATTCTGCCAAATCAGGGAGAACATATGGTGTTTGTCTCTTTGGGAATGGGTTATTTCTCTAAGTATCAGATTTTTCAGCTTGCTCCATTTTGTTGCAAATGACTGGATTTCATTTTTTTTTTACTGCTGTGTAGTATTCCACGGTGTTCATATCCCATAATTTCTTTATCCGGTTTTCGGTTGATGGGCATTGAGGTTGCTTCCATGTCTTAGCTATTGTGAATTGAGCTGCAGTAAACATGGGGGTGCAGGTAGCTCTTTTGTTTACTGATTTCATTTCCCTCGGGTAAACTCCCAGGAGTGGGATGGCTGGGTCATACGGTCAGTCTATGTTCAGGTTTTTGAGGTATTGCCACACTGTCTTCCACCGTGGCTTTATCAGTTTGCATTCCCACCCACAGTGGGCTAGGGTGCCATTTCCCCCACATCCTCTCCAGCATCTGTTGTTTGTTGATTTCTGTGTGAGGGCCACTCTACCTGGGGTGAGGTGAAACCTCATTGTGGTTTTGATTTGGACAATGCCATTCTGATCAAGCACCGAGACAGGAGGAGGAAGGGGGGGGGGAGGGGGGAGGGGGAGGGGGAGGGGGAGTAGGAGGAGGAGGAGGGCAAGAAACTGAGCAGTATTCAAACCCCATCCTTCAGCAACACATTTCACTTTTTCAAAGAGGCAAAGGAGTAATATTTAGCATACCACACAGATAATAAACACTCCTTAAGTGACACTGTCGTCTTGATAGTCCTTATTTTTAAGATAAAATATACAATATGTAATTATCCTGAAAAGTAGCACATGTTGAAAAACAGAAATATGTTTAAGAAAAACACACTGCTGAAAAATACACAGTGGGCGATCAACGAGGGGGGCTTTTGAAATCCTGAGGACATACCAGTGTGGCAGGACACGCGGTGGCCCTCAGAGATACGTCCCCATCCTGATTCTGAGTTTTTGCGTGGCCCTCTTAGGAGCCTTGGTAGACACGGTTCAGTGGAGGATCTTGAGATGGGGCGATTATCTTGGATAATATATCCAGGATGCCCTTGTATCCTTACAAGAAGCAGAGGGGTCAGCGCTGCGGCTCACTAGGCTAATCCTCTGCCTGCAGCACCGGCACACCGGGTTCTAGTCCCGGTCAGGGCCGGATTCTGTCCTGGTTGCCCCTCTTCCAGGCCAGCTCTCTGCTGTGGCCCGGGAGTGCAGTGGAGGATGGCCCAAGTGCTTGGGCCCTGCACCCCATGGGAGACCAGGAGAAGCACCTGGCTCCTGGCTTTGGATCAGCGCGGTGCACCGTCCGCAGCGCGCCGGCCGCAGTGGCCATTAGGGGGTGAACCAACGGCAAAAGGAAGACCTTTCTCTCTGCCTGTCAAAAAAAAAAAAAAAAAAAAGGCAGAGGGAAACTAGACACAGAGGAGAAGGGGATGCAAAGATGGAGCAGAGATTTCAAAATGCTGGCCTTGGATATTTGAGGGACACAGCCACAGCCGAGGCACGCCGGCAGCCCCCGGAGAGGGATGGGGGCAGAGCGACCCCTCCCTGCAGGCTCCCCAGGAAGCACGGCCTCGCTCTGCCTTGATGTTGCTAACTGATACTGATTTTGGGTTTGTAGTCTCCAGAATTGCCAGAGGACCCCCTTATGTTTTCTTTTCTTTCTTTCTTTCTTTTTTTTTTTTTTTGACAGATAAAGTTGGACAGTGAGAAAGAAAGGTCTTCCTTTTCCGTTGGTTCACACCCCAAATGGCTGCTATAGCTGGCTTGCTGCGCCAATCCAAAGCCAGGAGCCAGGTGCTTCTCCTGCTCTCCCATGTGGGTGCAGGGCCCAAGCACTTGGGCCATCCTCCACTGCACTCCCAGGCCACAGCAGAGAGCTGGACAGGAAGAGGAGCAACCGGGACAGAACCAGCACCCCAACCGGGACTAGAACCTGGTATGCCCCCGCTGCAGGTGGAGGATTATCCTAGTGAGCTGTGTCGCCGGCCCCTCTTGTGTTCTTCTAAGCAATCAAGTGAGGGATAACTGGTGACAGCGGCCACAGGAATCTAACAGACGCAGCTACCTGAGATTAATGACCGGAAGGGAACTGTCTCTTGGCATGAGGCCGTCTTTTACATACTCTGGCTCACCAGGTCACTTCTAACTTAACATTTATTTTCCTTTTGCTTTCTGTTGAATGCCAGGCGGGACAAAGCTTTTCCTATAAAATGCTGGTGTTTTGGAAAGGTGGGTGGGGGGACCATCTTTGCAGGCTGGATAAGGGGTGCCCTGCAGGACTACAGTACTTCAGCGACAGGCATGCCCGCATCTCCCAAGCCTAGGGTCTCTTTTCCTTGCGCAGTGGAAGAAATACGCCACCAGGTCTGACTCCCTTTCTTAGGCAGTCTGCTGACCTTGTCACTTTCTAAGGACTTGATAAAACTCAGAAGAGGATGCTGGCATTTGTTCACTAGAGCTTACCATGTCTTTGTGTTAAGATCATAGCATGATACATGCGGATACAACCTGTTTTCGTAAGAGTAAACCGGATTTGCATAAGCAAACACTTCCGGTGCTTCCCAAGTTTTCCAGGCACCTGCGCCCCACACGGTGCCTGGTCTTCGGACTGGATCCATTCCAGAGGCGGCTGCTGCTGTCATAGCATCAGATCCTTGCAGACCCCGCTCTGAGCACAGCTTTTTCTCTGCGTGCTCACGGCTTCAGCGGGCGACAGCGCGCACCTCCTCTCATCTCCAGCCTGCACCTGCACTCCAGCCTCGTCTCCAGCTGGCCTGCTGGTCCTCGGCTCTTGGAGGTCTAACGGCCATTGCCAAGTCAACCCGGTTCAACGCAGGCCCAGCACTTACGCGTGCTCCTCCACACCATCTCTTTGCTCCCTCCAACGTGTTAAACAGTTCCGTTCTATAAAGGCAAGCGCTGTCGCTGGACACAAGGGGTTCCATTTGCTTGGGGGGGGGGGGGGTGCCGCCAGGTGCCCAGACTCAAGCCGAGCCTGCTCAGAGGAAAGTGTGCCGGCACCAAGGAAGGCAACAGCGGGCAGCTCCAGCCGTTTGCCTGGGCTTTTACAGCCAGGGTCAGGGGCGTGTCCAGGATGTACTGAAGGGGCAGAGGGAGGGCCCTTCCTGCTCGCAAGCTGCATCTTCACGCCGTGCAAGATCAAAAAACCCGACCTTGTCTGTGGGCTTCTCAGCACAGTGTTGCCAGACAAGCTTTTCTGGAACTTTCTCCGAAAACCCGCAGATTCTCCATCCCTGCAGGATCCCCTCCAGCCAGACCCCCACCCCTGGGTTACACCTGCGGCGCCCCCAGAGCCCCCAGAGCCCGGCTATGCACAGGGTGTGCAGCCCGCACAGGGCCCTGGGCGACGGGCGCCCTCCCGGGGGCCGATCTCTGGGCGCGGCTGCTCGCGTCCTTCTGACGGAAGGCAGGAAGGCGGGGAGGGTCTGTGTGTCTTTACCCGACGACGGACACTTAATGGCCCCCTCCTGAAACGCGGAGGGCCCCCGAGCGACGTGGAGTCCCGCAGAATGCCAACCCCGCGGCGCGGTCACAGCAGCGGGCGCGGCGGCGAGCGGGCCCGTCAGGCCCCGGAGTCGCGCCTACGACCTGACGCGGGAGGCCGCGGCCGGCCCCGCGCCCGGGCAGGCCGGGGCCGCGGCGGCGAGGCCCGGGGTCCCGCAGCCCCGCAGCCCCGCAGGCCGCGCCGCGCCGCCCGACGTCACTTCCGACCGGAGCCAAGATGGCGGCGGCGCGGCCGCGGGCGCCAGGGCGGGCGGAGCGGCGGCGACGGCGGCGGCGGCTCGCGGCGCTCTGAGGCGCGCGGGGCGCGGCGGGCGCAGGTGAGAAGCGGCGGGCAGGGCCTTGGGGCCGGAGCCGGGCCGCCGGGGCCTCCCCGGGTGGAGCGGCGGCGGCGGGGAGGACGCGCCGGGGGCCGGGCGCCGCAGGGCCGGGCCGGCGGGCGCGCCCCCTCTGCGAACCCGGGCGTCCGGACGCGCGCTGCGGGCTGGGGGCGCGGGAACGCGGCGCGGGTCTCCCGGGAGGGCGCCTGGCGGGCGGGTGTGGGCGGGGGTCCCTCCCTGCGGGCCTGCGGGGTCCCCGCGGCGAAGTTCGGGGTTCGCTTTGTGGCGGCGGAGAGCCGGGTGCCCCGGACCCCACGTGGGCTCGGGGCCGCCGCAGGTGTCAAGCCGCCGCGCCTTTTTTTTTTTTTTTTTTTGCGGTGCAGCACACGGAGCGTGTCCCGCAGGTTTGCCTCCCTGATTGGTTTTGCGTCTCGCGTCTTTGTGTTTCCTAAATAGTTTTTTTGTGTGTGTCGGGGGTGGGTGGGGGGGAACCTGGAGATCGTGTCCCCCGCTGTCCCCGTGCACCCGCGGCCGGGGGTGTGTGCGACAGACCCGTGCTTCTCCTCCACTGATTGCGCCCCGAAAGCCAGCGGGAGCCAATTTTTGATGGTGGCAAGTGAAATAGGAAGTGTAACTGACGGCCGGTGTGATTCCCAGCCCTCGCAGTTCCTGGGCTCCACGCGGGAAGGGCCCGCGCGTGGGCGTGCAGCCCTGAGCTGCGGGGACAGCCCCACGGGGAGCCCGAGTCCCCCAGCCCCTTCCCCGCACTGCTGCAAGGAATTTCCGCGGCCAAGATCTCGGTGAGGCTCACGCCGGCCCCTCGCTTTGCCTTTTAGGGTTGCATTGAGGTTTGGGGTTTATTTGAGACCCCAGTGCCTTCTGCCAGACATTCGGATCCCTTGAGTCGAAATGGTTGTCCCCGCAAACATCATTGTCCCCAGGAGGCTACTGGAATGTGTCTTTAAGTTTTTGTGTAGTCCAGGTTTATTGTGGAACAGGACCACAAGGTTTCACCACCAGCAGGACCTCGTAGCCAATCCACCTAGCCAAGCGCACACTGGGCTTTGCTGTGGCCGCTCGACGTAGTAGAAGAAAAAAAATTTTTTTTTTCATAACAACAAGATGGGAAATTTAGGTAGGAATATTAAGGAGGAGGAACGAAGACACATAATTGAACCTTCTTTTTCTGTGATTCTCAGCTGGTACCCAGCTGCCTGGCCACTCTGTCCAGGCTTCCTTATATACACGTTTATTTGGCCGAATTCTTTCATGTGCAGAATCGCAATTTAGCCTTGACCTTACAAGATCATTAACCTCTCACTCCTGTCAAGCTCCGGCAACTGAGTCCAAAATTCATAGTAGGAACTGATTCTTGTTTACATTTTCTGTTATTCAGGGACTCTTTTTAAAATCTTTTTTGGTTTGATTTAAATAAGTTAGTACATTTTAAGTGCTTAGAAAAGTGCCAGGCACTTAATCGTAGGGCCCAATACATGTTTGCTTTTGTTCATTGTAGAAGTGGTTTCTTTATGTGAAAAGTTGGTGTGTATATATATTATATTTTTTTCATTTCAAGGGCAGTGCCTGAGGCAGGTCCATATAAATTAGTGATAATGTGTTCATTCTGAAAATATGAAATGTAACAAATTGGGATTCTGACTATAGACCGATTGTGGAGTAGAGGCAGGCAGACCCTTCATTGTTAGCACGTCAGTCGCAGCCCCCTCTCTCAGGGTGTCTGTGTGCCTTTCTTCACTCACCCATGTGTTTAGAGGATGCACTCACGTCTGTATTAATCTGTTGAGACCTTACTGTGCGTACTGTTTGTAATCTGTCTTCCCTTCCAGTTTTCTGGGCGTGTGTCTGTGTCGCTAACTGTTCTTCAATATGTTTTCATGGCTAATATGGGCAGGGGCCATCATTTACCAGTCAATTCCATATTGATCTGTGAGGTTTCCAAACCCTGAGATTTTCTTTATATTATGATGCATTTGGAATTGTTTTCTATTGTGGACTTTTAAGTTCTGTAATCTTAAGATACAGGAAAATGTAAATTCTGCCGTTTAGGTTCTAAATATGTATTTTTCTTGCCAATGTTGTGGTAGGAAATAACTCGCTTTCCGCCCAATGTCAGCTCCTTTCTCCTCAGCCAGGTCTATGCAGTTATATGCACGGATCTGCACACATACTCTTTTGATGATTATTTTACGTTAGATGTTTATTCATGGAACGGGTTCTTTAAGCTGCCGGTCTCTCTCCAGGTTCCGGCTGTGATTTACAAACCTTTTAAGTCCTGTTAAATCGTAGACTTTCCGGGCTGGAAAGCACCATGGGTTATTCACTGTCTTCATGGCTTCCGACTAGCCTTTCATGTTCTCTGTAGTGCCCATGCCGGAGAAGAAAACCAAAACTGGGCTTCCACTAGGAGACACCGCAGTAGGGAGTGACTGAGGAGCAGGTGGACGGTTTGAGGGGCCCTGGTCAAACTTGCGTGGCGATGGTGGCTTCAGGGAGTTTGCAGATGCCGGGGACCTTAGCTGATGGTCATTCTGCCCTCACTTGTGGTGTGCACCCAGGGCGTCCTGGCGGGCCCTGCTTGCTGCTCCTCCGTGGGGCTGCCACCCGCCAAGCGTTTGCTTCGAGGCCTGGGGCCGAGTGCTCACGCTGTCCTTGGGGAATTCCAAGTTTGTAGGCAGAGCTGTACAAGATCTGCTCGAGCGCCGGGAAGCTGTGGGCTCCTGTGGCCCCGAGCGTGACGCTCAGCTTCCGTGGCAGCGCTGTGGGCATTCGGGCCGAGTGCCTCTCCTGCACGTGGCGAGACGCTTAGCTGCAGCCCTGCACCCATCAGATGCCAGTGGCACCTCCCGCAGTGTGACAACTGGGGAAGTCTCTAGACGTTGCCAAATGTCCCATTGCAAAATGGCTGCTACATTACAGGAGGGAGGCTCCTCTGACTGGTGGGTAGATCACTGGCGCTGTTGACCGACCGTCCTGAAGTCAGAAACTGTAAGAGTGAGACTGGAGTGTGGGACTTGGATCGCAGAGCCTGCAGCCGACTCTGGTCTGTCCACGTCCCCTCCTGCCTTGGCATCCTTTTGTGGCAACAGAGAAAGCGGCGTGAGGGACCCTAGAGATTATGAAGTTCTCACGACACAAGATCAGCACTCCCAGTATGCAGATTAAATTATTATGGAATTTGAATAAATTTGCATAGAGTTGACGCATGGTGAATCGTGTAAGCATGTGGCCCATTATGCTGAATAGCACAGAAACAACTGTCTTTTCTCTCAGAAAATGGGACTTGGTTGAAGCAGCCCCCTGAAGATTGATGGCAGAAGCCAAACTGTGGTTTTTCTAGAAATCTTTTTTTTTTTTTAAGCAACCAGCTTAGGGTTAAGCACAGAAGTGATGCATTTATGTTGAGGCTAGAAGGCTTACTTTCCAAGTGCTTACCTAACTAAGTCATTGTAATTTAAAGATAGCTTGTTGATCTTTCTAGAAAATACGTGTCCTCAGTACAGCTTTCCCTGCAGGGAGAGGGTAGAAGTCGCTGCCTCTTTGTAAGGATAGATCGTATAGATAAACTTCTCTGATGGCGTAAGTAATCTTTCATCAGAATGTGCTGATAAATAAAGCACAGGAGGAGACGTGCTGTGGGAGCCCAGAGTCTCTGCATCACGTCCCTGGAATGAGTGTGTGTGCCGCTGCAATGTTCTCTCTTACAGGGAATGCTTGTCGGCCCCACCCCCGCCTCCCTGAGGCTTGACTTAGGAGTTACTGCGTGTAGTGAATCTAGTTCATTTGTAGTGAAATATGCGTATAATATTTTTCCCAGCACTCTGTAGTATTTACTCCTACAGGCTTGGCTCATGTCACACCTGCACTGGGTTTTCACTTACTAGTCCTTTGGAGCATGCAGTAAAGAAAGTTTCACTGGATACTTATATATTTTCCAGCCATTTTGGTGAAAAGGATATTTTGTAGCTCTTGCAATAAGTCAGATGTCAGGTTGTGCTTTGAAAGAGCTGAATTCTTGGTCTGAAATACGTATGGGCTACATGTATCGGTTAGCTTGGTCACAGCGGGCAGCCTGTCCGGAAATGGGCAGTGCCTGCGTGGTTCACGTGTGCTGGTCCGTGGTTCTGTTAAACTCTGCTGGGACAGTTCTGTGGCACTTTCAGCTAACTTAAATGATGCCACCCAAATTGGCAAAATTTCAGTGTGAATCCTGTGTGGTACCCAAGACCTTCCCGAGACGATGTCACTTATGCGTCATCTGGGGTATCATGTAAGCGGGAAGCCCCGCGTGTTCTCACTCTGTGAGACTCATTTTAGGAGCTTCGCAGTGATCTGAAAGACCCAGTTTTAACGTGTGCCTGGCAGTGGGCGTGTTCAGGCGTCTTGGGATAAGTGTACTCCTTACTCGTAGCTCCCACCACTTGTTAGGGACGTGGGACAGGGCAGCTCACCTGTTTTGGGTGCCCAGTGCTCTCTGAGAGAAGCCCTCAGTGACTCACTGCCCTGGGGCAGCGGCGGGCGGCACAGAATGGCCGGTCACAGATCCAGCCCGGGGACCCACCTGGTCTGCCTGTTTGGGGGTGGGTGGACCGCTTCCTCCTCTCTGTGAAGTGGGGACAAGGTTGCTTCTCTTTCCCTGGGGTGATTTGAGGTGAATAAAAAATATGGGAGCAGGGGCCGGTGCTGCCTACAACACGCGCCTTCACGTCCCGGCTGCTGCCCCCAGGAGGACAGTGGAAGATGGCCCAAGAGGTCGGGTCCCTGTTACTCACGTGGGAGACCCGGGTGGAGCTCCTGGCTCCTGGCTTCAGCCTGACCCAGCCTGGCTGTTGTGGCCATTTGGGGAGTGAACCAATAGATGGAAGATCTTTCTCTCTCTCCTTCCCTCCCTCCCTCTCTGTGTAATTCTGCCTTTCAAATAAATAAGTGAATAAATAAATCTTTACCGTTTGAAATACTTGAGGTTTTTGGAGCAGCCCTTA